GGCCCGGGGTGGGGAGGGGAGGGGAGGCAGGGTTGGGAAGGGCGAGGCTTGAGGGTCGGAGAAGCCCAGGAAGAGAAAAGGGGCACCGGCGCGGGGCAGGCAGGCGAGACCGCTGTCTGGACCGGACCCGGCTGCCCAGCAAGAGCACCTCCTGGGGGGCTCCAGGGGCCAGCGCTACCTTCAGCCGGCCTTTGTGGTTTGCCGACACAAGGCTAAGGATGCAGAGGTGACCAGGGCAGACCAGCGGAGAGCCCCAGCCCCGAGCCGCATGCCCTCTGTCCCCAGATGGGACAGGAGTGGTGAGGGGGCGGTCAAAGCCCAGCCGCTGAAGAGCACCGGCGGGTGCGTCAGTCCAGCCCTCGCTGGCCAGAAAGCAGGAAGCCCTGCTCCTGCGGGCAACAGGAAGTCCCGGCAGGGAGGAAGCTCTGGAGGCCCCGGCCCCGCTGCAGCAGGACTGCGCGGTAGAACGGGCAGCCGGGTCTGGGGCTGGCCGGCCTCAGACATGCAGGCCGTAGCCCCTCCGGGCCGCTGAACTGCATGGCTTCCCTGGCTCCTGGGACGCCTGTCCCCAGCGGGTCACCGGGCAGGAGGAGAGCCATGTGTTGGGTCAGTGCCCTCAGGTCAGTGGGGCAGGCTCTGAGCCCAAGGTGGTGCTCGCCTGGCACCGGCAGGGGTGGCCGTGGGGGCTCTGTAGGACCTGGGTTTGCCAGGAGCAACAGGCTCTGAAGAGAGCGCTCCCCGCTCTGGCTGGAGAGCCCCAGTGGGAGCCACCAAGGAGGTGGGGGCAGCCTGCGGGGGGGGGGGAGCAGCCCCAGTGTGCCCACCTGCCGAGCCCTTCCTGCTCTGTGCTCTTCCTCGGGTGGTCCTGTGTTGGGTCCTGGGTGCATACACACTGCATATGAGTGTGCGCGTGCACCAAGGAGCTGCGGGAGCCGCGTGGGAGCCTGGCTGTCCACACAGGAGTGCATGTGTGTGCTCTGGGGCCTTGCACAGAACGGATGACTCCCAACCCCCAGGGCTCTGTCAGGTCCTGCAGCCTCCTGAGGTCTCAGTTCCTGCCGTCCGGCCCCTGGCTGGCCACCGGGCCTTTCTAGGGGATCTTGGTTTTGATTCTCTTGTGGAGAAGGATTCTGGGAGGGAGGTAGAGGGAAGAGGAAACTCAAAGGGGGAGTGTGTGCGCTGGCGTGAGGCCGGCAGCGGAGCTGCACCTGCGGGGTCTGTGTCCCTCTGCTGCCGTCACCCACCCGCATCCAGGTGGGGAGGGGCTGCGGGCGGGTGGGGAGGGCCGGTGCTCAGTCCTGGACAGTTATGCTGTGCGGCCGTGAGGGACTTGCTCTGCATCCTTGCCCCTTGGTGTTTTCGTCTGTGATGTAGGTGACTGGTCCGAAGCCAGGGCGTGGGGCCAGTGTGGTGGGCTGGCCCTGCGGGCACACAGCCCGAGTGTCTCTCTCTCCTTCCGGCCTCCGTGTCTGGTCCACTGGGCGAAGCGCTGATCTCGTGGGGGCGCTGTCAGGTGGAGCTTGGTGGTGGGCTGTGCAGCACCGGGCCAGCCCTGTGGAGCCACTTGTGGACCACGGAGGGTGTGTGTGTGTGTGCAAATGGGAGTGGACATAGGATTATGTGACTGCACAGATATGCACAGAGGGGCACATTAGTCTAGGCACGTGAGTATGAACAAGCACGCACATGCATTGTAAAGTGTGTGTGAATGAGCACACGTCCTAGCACAGGTGTATAGGTGTGTATGAGTGTGCCTCTCTATGCGTTCATGTGTGTATACACAGAACAATCATGGGAAGGTGTGTGTGTGTTTGTGCACGCCTGCGTGCATGTGTGCACAGGACAGAGCCTTCTTGCGCTTTGGTCTGGGCCCTCCCGCTTCCCTTGCTCTGGGGCTTCCCACGGCCAGCCTGGCCGGAGTTAAGCAAGTCCCAGACCCTGTGGTCATGCAAGGCACCGCTTCCTCCCCCTCGCTCACATTTGCAGGCTCGCATGTGTGCACACACCACACACATCTGGGAAGTGTGTTCTGCTGGAGTACCTGGGCGGTGACATTAGTGGCTCATGTGTGGGCCTTGACGGAGGAGGCCGGGCCGGCGGGAGGCGGGAGCCCCGAGCCCTTGGGAGTGGAGGCTGATGGGGCTGCCTGCAGGCTCCGGCCCAGGCTTGTGTGAGTGAGTCAGCTTTGAGAGGAGGTGGAAGGTGTACCCAGCAGTGGGCCTAGAGGCTATGTGCCGAGTGTCATGCCTGCCTAGCGTGTGCACTCACAAGTAAGCATGTGTGTGCAAGTACACGTCCACATGTGAGCAACGCCGTGACCACAGGCTTCTGGAAGGGTCTTGGGGCTCTGCAGACGTCGCCAGATCCACGTGCCCCACTGTGGGTCCCTGTGAGTCCAGAGCTGCATCCGAGGTGCAGACCCTGGCTGCAGGGCACAGTGTGTCCTGCTGCCCTTGTCCGGCCGCAGCCGCAGGAAGAGCCGTGTGTCCCTGGGAAATTGAAAGTGAAACGTGGGTGAGATTCACTCTCAGAACTCCTGCCACAGGGTCCTGGCAGACGTCGCCTCTCCAAGGAGGGGATTTGCTACCCAGGGAGCTGGTCCGAAGCCTGTAACCGGGTGGATTTAGCCATCAGGCCCTTGGGCTAGAGCAGTGCCCTGGAGGCCAGACCAGCCGGAAGACCCCTGAGGGCGCCCTTTAGTCTTTGTGGGCATAGGCAGAAAGGGAGTGTGTGAGCTGGGCTGAAATTTCCCAAGAGCTGTGTGGTCATCATGGCCTGCAAACCCTCACGCTGCAGACAGGGCACGGCCCTCTCCCCTTGGTCCCCTCCATCCCCTCTGTCCCCTCCATCTTGTTTTACGCTAGTGCCACAGCAGAGATGGCAGGTGTGCACCACCACACCTCGCTGTTGGTTGAGATGGGGCTGGCACATTTTTTGCCTCGTCTAAGTGTAAGGAAATACTTCAAGTACCAGGAGTATGAATATGAAAAGAGCAGAGCGGTGAGCTGGACAGGCCAGTGGTTTGCAGGCCAGCTGAAGAGCGGCAGGGCTGGGGGAGTTTGAATGGTGCCGCATGGCAGGCAGGGGGAAGGGGGGGAGGGGCGGGCTGCTTTGATGGAAGTGGGGTGGGAGAACAGTCTTATCCTGGGTTAGGGGACAGGGTTTGTTGTTTTCTTTTGTTTTGTTTTTTTGTCAGTTGTGGGGCCTAAACTCTGGGCCTGGGCTCTGTCCCTCAGCTCTTCAGCTCAAGGCTAGTGCTCTACCACTTGAGCCACAGCGCCACTCCTGGCTTTTTCTGCTTACGTGGTGCTAAGGAATCAAACCCAGGGCCTCATGCACTCTACCACTGAGCCACCTTCCCAGCCCAGACGGGGTTTTAACAGCATGTAGGTCACAGGTTATCTCTTTTACAGCTGCAGGGTGTGTTTGGGGTGTGGGGGAAGAGGAGGGGAAATGATTCAGAGATGTTGGCAGCAAGGACAGTTCTAAGAGATGGCTGGCAGGGGGAAAGGCAAGTGCTTTTTTTTTTTTGTCCAGTCATGGGGCCTGAACTCTGGGCCTGGCGCTGTCCCTCAGCTCTTCAGCTCAAGGCTAGCGCTCTACCACTTGAGCCACAGCGCCCCTTCCGGCTTTTTGCTTATGTGGTGCTGAGGAATCGAACCCAGGGCCTCTGGCATGCAAGGCAAACGCTCTACCACTGAGCCACCTTCCCAGCCCAAGGCAAGTGCTTTTTGTTTTCATTTTCCATCACTGGGCTTGAGCCATAGTCCTCTTATTTCCCATGTCCTGTAGCTAGGGTCATAGGCATGGAAGGTTTCCGTCCGTCCCTTGCTTGTTGATCCTCATGAAGTATCATGGAGTTTATCATCTATTGAGATGATCATGTGGGTTTTGTTCTTATTTTATCATTAATTGAATTTAAATGCATTAATTGAATTTCACTATTAAACCATCCTTGAATTGCTCAGATAAATCCTAGTCGGTCATAAAATCGTTTTGTACAGTTGCTGGAGTCAGCTTGCTGTGTTGGTTTCTATCTGTTGTTTAGTTTTTGCTGTTCCGGGTGCCTTGGCTTTTATGTTTTCTGGAGTGTGTAGGGGACTTGAAGGCTCAGCTCGCTCACTGCTGGCCCAGCATGTCCACAGGTGGGTGCTTTGTAGGTTTGGGTAGTACGGTGATGAGTCCGGCTGGTGCTGGCCCACAGATGGTCAAAGGCAGGAGGAGAGAAAGATGGGGGAAGTGGGGGCGTGCAAGCCAATCAGGGCTGCTGCCAGGTGTGTTGGCACATGCTTGTAACCCAACACTGTGAAGCTGAGGCAGGGGTGGCAGGCTGAGCTCCCCAGCCAGATGCTGTTTCAACAAAACAAAAGACACGAAGGCCTGGGCTAGGTCTGTACTGGAGACTGGGAGATTTAGAACAGAGTGGTTGATGGATGTCTGGGCTGGAGCATGATAGCGGGAAGGTGTGGAGAAGGGCAGGGTGGCTGGAAGGAGGCGTCGCCTACAGAGCTGGGTAAGCTACCAGGGCAGGGAAGGGACTGTCCACTGGAGACAAAGAGCTGCGGAGAAACTCCAAGACTAGATGCAAGAGGCCCAGAGATCAGGCCTGGGGTGGAGGCCTTACCACCAAGGGCTGGCAACCAGCAAGACAGTGGGGTGAGAATGGCCAAGCCTTCGGGCTGTCTCTGCAGGGCCAGTGCAGGTCCTCTGCCCACCGCCCTGCCAATCCGTCTGGCCTGGAAGGGTCTCCTTGCCTCCAGGCTGGGTAGCGGGTGCTGGTGCACTGTGGCTTCTGTCAAACACACTACCAGTTCTGGGCATCTGGCTTCTGCACCGCAGGGCGTGGTGTGGACAGTGAGGTGGAAGGAGAGGTCAGGCGCTGGGGGGGGGGGGCAGGGGAGGGGCGGTCTGAGTGGGCCGGTCCTGAGCAGTGGGCAGACACTCTCCGCCCATGGGGGCGGAGCCAGCGGCCACGGGGGGCGGCTGGTGGTGGGGCAGGCATGGCGGGCGCGGGGCCCCGGCCCCGGAGCTGGGCCCGGCGGGACAGGGCCTCCAGGGACGAGGCCGCAGCGGGGCCATGTCGCTGCGCGCAGGGGAGGAGGGCGCCTGCCGCCCCCCGGAGGCCGGTGCCAGCCGCCTGGACGCCGTGAGTACCGGCACCAACCCCTGGTCCCCAGACCCCACACTCCAGACCCCGCGGCTCAGCACCGCAACCTGGACCCTGGCCCCAGCCTCAGGCTGCAGTCCACCCGAACAAAGGCGGGCGTGGCCGTGGGGGTACAGGGCCGTCGGGGTACAGGGCCTGATTGGGGGTGCAGGCCAGTCTTTCTCTGGCCCCTCCCGTGGGTGGTCCTGGACATGGGCGCCCTCCTCCTGCCCCCACCCCCCAGTCCGCTCCCTCCATACTCCCTGCTCCCCTCTGGCAAGGGGCGGGGCTCAGCCTTTGTTCCTAACCTGGGCCTGATTGGGGACCAGGGGGGGCTTTGTACCCCCTGGCACCTAGGGGCAGGTGTCGGTCTGCCCTGGCCATGGCCCTGGTCAGTGGGCAGCCTGCAACCTGGTGTGGGTGACTTAGCCCAGCACTGGTGAAGGAGTGTGGGGTGCTGATGCCCAAGACAGTGGCTTTTTTCCTTTCTTTCTGCTTTGAGCCCAGTTCTGTGTAGTCCCTCTGGCTTGCACTCAGGACACTTCTCAGCTGGAGTTCTGGACAGATCCCAGGCCTGGCTGGAGTGGTTTCTTTGTGTGTGTGTGTGGCCGGGGGGGGGGGGGGGTTGCAGCTGTAGTGTCAGGGTCCCAGCCCGCCTGGGCCTCTGGGGCTCCAGGGTGGACCTGGCCAACATGGGGTGGGAAGAGGCACAGACACAACAGTGTAGTGTGGGTCCACAGTGCCGGGTCCCGGGAACCTCATGGAAGGCTCTCAGTCTGGATCCTGAGAGAGGAAAGCATGTGTGTGTGTGGGGGGTGTCTTCATGTGGGCAGGGTGGTGTCACACACACCAGGTGTGCGGGAGCCTCATAGGTTCAGGGCGGTGGCGGGAGCCCATGGACCTGGGGCCCTGCTCCCCGGACAGCGTGCCCCCAGGTCCCGCCCGGCTCTGACCTGATGGTCTAGGCTCATGATGTGGGTGCCAGCAAACCTGCCAAAGGTCCCATGACTACTTGGCCAGGGCAGCTGTGGGCCAGGCTGGGCTACTCTGTCCTCCGTGCTACGGCTCTAGCAGCGGAGGCCTGGGAAACGTTCCTCCAAAGAGCCGGCCAGGATGGGGGATAGTGGGCCCTAGGAGCCGGGGCTCTTGGCTCTGTGCGCTCCTGTGCAGGGCACGCTGGACAGAGTCTCTGAGGACAGGTGTTGGGAGCCATGCCCCGCATTCTGCACCGAGGGTTGGAGCAGATGGAAAGGGCACCCAGGACCCGCCACCTGCCTTCAGGAAGCCCTCCTTCAGGCTTCCTCACGGGCTTGCCTGCCACTGAGACTTGGGGAAGTTACAGCAAGGCAGACACTGCGCTGGGGTCTTGGGTTCGGTTACTACCACAGCGCAGGCCTGCTGGGGCCCTGTGCCCATGGAATCTGTGGGGAGAGGGAGACACAGCATCCCGGGGCCAGCCCTGCGGCCGAGGGCAGACGAGTGAGCGGCCCGTGAGGTTTGTCCTCCAAGGGCCCCATCCTGAGGCCTGGAAGAGGGTTTCCTCAGCCTCTTCTGCCCTGATCCTCCGTGTAGCCTTCTGGACCCTGACACAGTCCCCTAGAGTCCCCAGCTAAACTGCTCCCTCGCCCGCCCCAGGCCAAGCCGTATCTTCCTCTTTGATTGCAGCTTCATGGCGGCTGAGGAGGTGCACTGGCCTGTCCCTATGAAGGCCATCGGTGCTCAGAACCTGCTGACCATGCCTGGGGGCGTGGCCAAGGCTGGCTACCTGCATAAGAAGGGCGGCACCCAGCTGCAGCTGCTCAAATGTGAGTCCTTGGGCTACGGGGGTCACAGAGTGGCCACTGAGCGGGGATGGAGGCTGGCCTCGGTCCCCCTTCTCTGCCGCTCTGCTGGGCCTTCTTGGCTGTTGCAGCAGCTCTGAGCCTCTGCTTCCTTTTGTGGTGGGCCCTCTATAGTTCCCCTTCTAGCTCTGGTAGCTGTCACTCCTAGGGACCGGAGGGAAGCCTCCCTGGTCTGTGGGGTCCAGGCTGGTATAGCTGGGCAGAGATCGGGTAGACACATTGCTGACAGCTGTCTCTGGGAGCGTTAGCCTGCAGGGCTACCTGTGAGTGGTCAGTGAGTGGTCACGTGCTCTGGATGAACCTATGTGCCAAGTCAGGAGCCAACTGGGCCTCTGGAGATACACAGGACTCAGACCGTGATGGTCCAGGAAAGCAGCTGGGGAGAGGAAGGGAGCCCTCAGGTCTGGGACATGCCCACCTCGTGGATACAGGAGACTGTACTCCAGCATACCCTGCGCTGCTTAGCCGAGATGCCTTCAGCTGGGGTCTGTGGGTTCTGTGGCTCTGGATCCTGTGGGGTCAGTATCTGAAGCTTCCAAAGTAGGGCCATACCTGATGTGGCCCTGGCCTGGGCCGTGGGGTTTGTGGCCTTCTTGGGGCGATTGCTCAGCTGGGAGAGCCAGCTGTCATGAGCCAGCTCTGGGCATCTCGCCCTGTTTTCCTTGCTGGGCCAGCCCGGAGTGGAGGGAGCCTCCTGAAAGTACCCAGCAAGGCCTCCATGGCCAACCTCGGCCTGTGACGGCCCCACATTGCCCTAGAGCAGTCTGTTCTCGGTGAGTGGCTAGGCCTGCCCTGGGCATGGTGCCTGGCGCTGGCCAGGATGTCCAGGAGTTTATCTGTATTGGCTCTGTAGTGGGCCTCTGGGAAGGGAGCCCTACGCTCCCACTCAGCCTTCTCAGGGACAGACATCCTAGCATCAGGTTGTCTGGGGTCTCTGTGGAGGGCTCCCAGGGCGGGGTCCGTGTCTCCATCCCCGAGGCTCACCCCTGCCCACGCCACACTGTCCACAGGGCCCCTGAGATTCGTTATCATCCACAAGCGCTGCATCTACTACTTCAAGAGCAGCACATCTGCCTCCCCCCAGGGCGCCTTCTCCCTCAGCGGGTACAACCGGTGAGTGTCTGCCGCCCGCAGGCCCTGACGCCTGCTGCCCATGGCTGGGCCGGGCCATCCTCTTCCCGCCTTCAGAAAGCCCGGGCTCTCCCGTGGGTGTGTCCAGCCTCTGCTTTCCCCAGCTTGGCCTCTCATACCTGGCCTTACTTCATGCTCTGTCTTCAGGCTTCTGCCATGGACGTCTGGTGAAGTTGGTGGGTTTTTTGTTTTGTTTTTTTTTGGGGGGGGGGCCCAGTCGTGGGGCCTGATCTCTGGGCCTGGGCGCTGTCCCTCAGCTCTTCAGCTCAAGGCTAGCGCTCTACCACTTGAGCCACAGCGCCACTTCCAGCTTTTTTCTTTTTGTTTATTTGTTTATGTAGTGCTGAGGAATGGAACCCAGGGCCTCAGGCATGCAAGGCAAGCGCTCTACCACTGAGCCACCTTCCCAGCCCCTGGTGGGTTTTTTTTTTTTTTTTTTTGCCAGTCATGGGGCTTGAACTCAGGGCCTGGGCACTGTCCCTGAGCTGCTTTTGCTCAAGGCTAGTGCTCTACCACTTAGCCGCAACGCCATTTCTGACTTTTTCAGTGTATGTGGTGCTGGGGAATCGAACCCAGGGCTTCTTGCATGCTAGGCAAGCACTCTACCACTAAGCCACATTCCCAGGCCTGTGGTGAAGTTCTTACTGGGCTCTTTCTGGGGCGTCACCTGGGCCTAGAATGTGTGCTTCCAGAGTCCCGGTTAGCCACTGAGGAGTGAGCTCTGAGCTCCTCTTCCCTCCCCCCCTGCTCCTTCACCTACCTTGGGCGCTCAGAGCCCAGGCAGCCCAGCTCTGTCTTACTGTGGCCCTGCCCAGATTCTGGTCTCCAGGGTCTCCCAGGCTGGTGAAATCACTGGTTGAGGTCAGGAGCAGTCTTGAGGGCCCTGTGCTAGTCAGGCAGGCAGGCATGGCTGCCCAGAGCTCTGGGGTCTCCTGTGGAGGGGTATTCTCTTTCTCTAGACACATGGCCCTCTATATGTGCCAGCCAAGGCCTGCACTTGTCCAGTGAGTGACAGGTGAGCTATGCCCCAGGAACTGTGCCAACCCAGCAGGCGGGCTGGGCCTCGGTGCTGCCGTGGGCGGCTGATGGCCAGGTGGGCGTACCTGCCCGAGGATCTGGCCAGCAAGGCTCTCCCCAGGGAGACATCCAGTGTGGGCCATGAATTCTGGCCAGGGTGCAACCTGTAGAGCGGATGAGTCTCTCCGCTGAATGCAGGTGTGGTTGGCATAGAGAAAGGCCCAGGCCCACGGGGGGTGAGGGGGGGTACGCACATGGGTGGGCAGGGAGGGTGGCATGATCTCCTCTCTTGGCCCTGCACCCTGCTCAGTCCTTCCCTGCCTGTTCCCCGCCCGTGCCCGCACTGCCTGCTGTCTGAAGTGCCCACGCCCTCTGCTGGCACCCCGGCAGGTGCTCCTTGAAAAGATGCTGGGTGCCAGGACCCACCAGGAAGTGGGAGAGGGGGAGGCCTTGAGCAGCGCCAGGCGTGACCGCTGGCGTTGTGTCCTCAGGGTGATGCGGGCGGCTGAGGAGACCACATCCAACAATGTCTTCCCCTTCAAAATCGTCCACATCAGCAAGAAGCACCGCACGTGGTTCTTCTCTGCCTCCTCTGAGGACGAGCGCAAGGTGATCCCGGCGTCGGGCCGTGACTGCCGTCTGGCGCCCTGGCCAGGCTCAGGCCTCTGTCAGTTCCAGGCCCTGGGTTTTCGCTGTCCCAGTCTGGCCCTGAGGAGGTGTGGCTGGAGTAGTGGCAGCCTGTGGCTGCCACCCATCTACTCTGTCGGGAGGAGAGCGGGCTGAGGGCAGCAGTGGGGGGTGAGGCCGTGCCTCATCCATGCAGGCCGGGCTGGACCCAGTGGGGTGCCTCACCAGCCCCGGCCACTAGGGCGGTGGGGCCGTGGGCGGGGAGGGGCGCCCCATGTGGCACCGTGCCCACTGGGGCTCCTGGTGACCCGCAGAGCTGGATGGCCTTGCTGCGCAGGGAGATTGGCTACCTCCATGAGAAGAAGGAGCTGCCCCCCGACACCAGGTGAGCAAGGCGTGTGACCAGTATGCGGCCGCCCCAGGACTCCTGGGCTTGCTGCACGAGCACCTCTCGGCTTGGGGGGGGGGCGCGTGTGTGCAGGAGTGTGCCGCTTACACAAGTGCACGTCTGTGTGTGCTCCCATCTCCCTTTGTCCATCTGCGCTGTCATAGCTCCTGGTCGAGGCTCACACGGGCTTCTCTCCTCCGGGGAGGCCCAGCACTTACAGCAGCTCAGAGTTCTGCCTCTGTGCCCCACGGCCTTAGCTCTTTTGCTCACGGGCAGTGCTCCACCACTTGAGCCTCAGCTCTACTTCTGGCTTTTTGGTGGTTAACTGGAGATAAGAGTCCTATGGACCTTCCTACCCCTGCTGGCTTTGAACCTTGATCTACAGATGGCAGCCTCCTGAGTATCTTGGGGTATGAGTGGTGTTATAAGAACTGCCGGGAGGCAGGAAGGTGGCCTCCATCTTCCGTCTGCCTGTCTGTCCCGTTCCGCATGTGTGGGTGTCCCTGGGCATCTGGGCTTGTGCGTAGGTGTCTGTGCACACGGCCCGCTGCGTTCGCCCATGTCCACACATCTGAGTAACTGCACATGTGTTCTCGTAGGTATGTATGTCAGTCCAAGTGTGTCTTGTGTGTATCCTTGGACTTACCCAGTGTCTGAGTTTGTCTGTTAGAGTGTCCTGTGTGTGCACGTGTCTTTACATGAGTGTGGAGGGACTCATTGCTTGTCCCGGACACCTTCCCTGTTTCAGCGACTCCAGCTCAGACACGGACAGCTTCTACGGTGCAATAGAGCGGCCTGTGGACATCAGCCTGTCTCCATACCCCACGGACAATGAGGGTGAGGCCTGGGTCTGTGTCTGGGCGCCTTCCCTCTCCGCACCTGGCTGCTGACAGTGCGGGGACCAGGCTGCTCTTGGTGGCTGTGGAGGGGAGCGAGGCGTGTTAGGCTGTGCTTCAGTTGTCTTCTGGCAGTGACAGTGACTTCCCAGTGTTGGCCATCAGCAGTCTGGGCTCTGGATTCAAGTCCTGCCACCTCCTCCCCGTCTCCCGAGCACTCTGCTCCTGTGCCGCTGTGCTAGGGCACAGTGGCCGGGCTGTCCATCCTGTGTGCAGCTGGGCCCGGGCCCCCTTTGGCCTCACCTTCCACCTGTTGCCCACAGACTATGAGCATGAAGATGAGGACGACTCATACTTGGAACCTGACTCCCCGGAGCCCCTGAAGCCCGAGGGTAGGGTTGGTGGGGCCAGCATGCTCTGCAGTGGGAGGTGGGGGGGGGGGTACCAGACGGCAGGAGTGGTCTGGGCCCAGAGAAGGCTAGATGGGGCTGGTAGAGCGCTTGCCTAGCACGCATGAAGCCCTGGGTTCGATTCCTCAGTACCACATACACAGAAAAAGACAAAGTGGCGCTGTGGTTCAAATGATAGAGTGTTAGCTTTGAGCAAAAGGAAGCTCAGGGACAGCGTCCAGGCCCTGAGTTCAAGCCCCAGGAATGGGGGGGGGAAGGCCAGATGGGGAACCCAAGGCTGCTGGCGTGCTGCATTCTGGGTTGGCATCCGCTGACCGCTGCCCGTAGCAGGTGCTGTAGCTCCAGCCTTCCCCGGGTGACGTGGACTTCTCTTTGCTCTGCAGACGCCCTGACCCATCCTCCGGCCTACCCTCCCCCCCCAGTGCCCACGCCCCGGAAGCCAGCCTTCGATTTGCCGCGGGCCCACTCCTTCACCTCCAAAGGCCCAGGCCCCCTGCTGCCACCCCCCCCCTCCTAAGCGAGGCCTCCCGGAGGCCAGCCTGGCTCCCCTGTGCCTGAGAGAGCCCACCCTCAGGGCGCCGGCCGCCTCCAGGAGGATGAGCGACCCCCCACCCAGCAGCGCCCCCTCGGGGCCCAGCCCCCGCAGACCCCCTGGCTTCCGGGAGAGTCTGAGCTCCAGCCCAGAGCCCTGGACCCCCAGCCACGCGGCCAGTGCCATGACCAGCGCCGCCGCCGCTGCCCGCACCTGTGACAAGCTCAAGTCTTTCCATCTGTCTCCCCGGGGCCCGCCGACAGCCGAGCCCCCACCCGTGCCTGCAAACAAGCCCAAGTTCCTGAAGATGGTGGAAGAGCTCCCCCAGAGGGAGGCGGCCAAGCCAGGGCTCTGGGTGCCCCCCGTGGCCCCTAGGCCCCCTGTGCTGAAGTTGCCCATGCCTGAGGCCACAGCTGGACCTGCGGTGCTGCCCCGGCCAGAGAAGCCACCGATCCCCCACCTCCAGTGAGTCTGGCCGAGGTGCCTGCCGCCCCTCCCCAGGGACGCCTCCCTGGCCTGCCCGGTCAACTGGCACCCAATGCATTCTGAGCCTGTGTGGGGCATCAGGCGCAGAGCCTGCCTCCGTGGGTCAGCCTCTTCTGCCCTGGACGGACCCAGGTCTGCAGCTGACGGCTGACCCAGCCTCGAGGCCCTGCAGCCCGGGGCTGCTTCAGAGGCACTGACCCCTGCAGCCGCTGCTGGCCGGCCGGGGGCCTCCAGGGCCCTGCCGTCCTGACGCTTGCGGGAAAGCGGGCGGTGAGCCACGCGCCGGCCTGACGTAGGCTTGCCTCAGAACGTGCATGGGTCTGTGCCCAGGCCCGAGGCCGCTCCAAGAGCTTTCTCCTGTACTGCTGGGTGGCACCAGGGTTCCACTCCACACAGCCCCTCCCACCATGGCCCTCCGGCAAACGATCTGGCACCCGGGTGGGTTCCTGCCTTGCGTGGCGGGTGAGCCACAGGGGCGGCCTTCCTGGTGCTCTGACGAACGTATCCCCATGGTGGCTGTGGCACCCCCTCTCCAGGGTTCTGTGGCATCCGGAGCCTCTGCTGCCCGCAGCGAAGCGTCTGGAGAAGCACTTGTGTTTGCTTCACGAGGGCCCACAGCGGAGGCGAACGCTTTCAGTCGTCCTGCCAAACCTGGGTCTGGCCTTACCCACACCCACCCTGGCAGGGCCTCCCGGTCCTCAGGCACGCGTGGGCTTCTCAGAAGCTCTGGGGTTTGGGGAGTGGGCCAGTTTACCCCTTCCCCTGTGGGTACTACAGGGCTGTCACTTGACGTCCCTGGGGGCAGATGGCGTTGCTCAGCCTCCGCTTCACCAACGCCAACGGCTTGCCAGGCGGGCGGGGCCTGGTCAGGCTCCCAAGGCCATCATTAGGGGACAACACCTCGCGCAGGTGCCCTGGTGCCTCCCATGTCAGAATGGCGGCCCTGACTTCCTACTTGGCTCCTGGCCTCCTTTGATTTTCACGGCAATGAGTGCGGACCTCTGAGCGCCGTCCTGGGCCCGTGTTGCCAGGGGACCCAGCACTGCAGATCCTGGATTCTCATGCTGAACTGGCATGAGAATGAGTTCAGGGGGAGAGGAAGGTGGCTCAGGGTGACGAGGTCTTGCCTTCCTCCTCTTTTCCCCACTGCAGGCGATCATCCCCTGATGGGCAAAGTTTCAGGAGTTTCTCCCTTGAAAAACCCTGGCAACCCACACAGGCCAGGACTAGCGGAGAGGATTCGGATGAGGACTACGAGAAGGCAAGGCTGAGTGCAGGGTGGGATCGTACATGCCAGTGGGCAGACAGGTCGTGGGAGCATCACAGGCCAGGCTGGCCCACACTGGCCTCCCTGAGCCAGGAGCCCCCAGAAGGCCAGAGCTGAGGGGGATAGGACACTGCGAGGTTCAGGATCCTGGAGTGGAGGGGCAGCAGATGGGTGGTGGTGGCCTGGGGAGGGTCACTCACTCGGGATCTTGGAGTGGAGGCAGCCAGACGAGGCTTGGGTGGTATGTGGAGGTCACTCAGGTCTCCATGATGATTACTGCTGGCTTCTTAGGTGCCGTTGCCCAACTCCGTCTTTGTCAACACTACAGAATCCTGCGAAGTGGAAAGGTTAGTACAAAGTCCTCTTGTACTAGTAGGGACAGGGTGCTGGGTCCCTTGCTTTTCTGTCCCCTTTGCTCACCTTGGTGCTGGACGATTGCTGGCCCAAGCACACAGCCCTAAGTGCAGCAGGAACCCTCCTCCCCACTGGCCCACCTGGCGTCAGGACAGCCAGTCTGAGACCCAGAGGAGCATGTGGCCTAAGCGTGGGGTCATGGAATGCACGTGCTCCGAGCTCAGTCATGGCGTGCACGTGGCTCGAATGTGGGGTCGTGGCATTATTGATATGTGACGCACAGAGTGGTTACAGTTACATGTCAGGTAAAGAATCTGTTTCCTTTGGACAGTGCAGCATGGCTGTTTAATTTTAGGTTGTTCAAAGCCACAAGTCCCCGGGGGGAGCCCCAGGACGGACTCTACTGCATCCGCAACTCCTCCACCAAATCCGGGAAGGTAGGGTGCTGGCACAGCTGTGACCCTGGAGCTCTGGCCCTCCACACCCCCCAAGTAGCAGTGGGGACCCACGGTTTATAGATCCCTTCCCACGCAGCCTCGGCTTCGGCCTCAACTGACCTCTGTGAGCCCCGTGTCTCGCAGTGCTCCACCTGGTGTCGGGGCTAGGGGTCATCCGCAAGGTGGGGCCCAAAGGGGGCGGGGCATCAGAGCTGCAGAGGGGGCGGGGCATCAGAGCTGCAGAGGGGGCGGGGCATCAGAGCTCCAGAGGGGGCGGGGCATCAGAGCTGCAGAGGGGCGGGGCATCAGAACTGCAGTGGAGGTGGTGCCAGGGCACAGGTGTGGGAACGGCAGGACACCAGCTGGCACTGCCCACGTCCTCCAAGCGTGTAGTGTGTGATCTCTCACCCTCCTCTCCCACGTGTGTTTGTGACGGTTTCAGGCAGCCCAGGCCCTGCTTCTGCTGTTTATGTCTCATTGGAGGCTGAAGGCAGAGACACCCAGGGCTAAGGACTTCCCTGACAGGAGTCTGCAGCCGGGCAGGGGTTCAGGAGCCTGCGGCCATCTCACCCCTGAGGGCCAGGTGCTTCTGCCTCTCAGCTTCTGAGGTCCTTCATGCAGCCTCTCCTGTCTGTCCCGTGCTTCCCTCCCTGTAGGTCCTGGTTGTGTGGGATGAATCTTCTAACAAAGTGAGGAACTATCGAATCTTTGAGAAGGTGAGGGCCAGGCCAAACTCCTGCGCAGCGTGTGAGCGATGGGTGGGTTGAGATCAGCCTCTCCAGGATGTACCCCAGCCCTGTCCTTCACCTCTCCCAACCCTGCCTTGCCCTTCCCTCTGTGACCTTGGAGGAGCAAAGTGGAACCGCCCCTGGCTTTGTGTGGGAGCCTTGGGGGTGGCAGGGAGGTGGGAATTTGAGGAGCTCAGGCCCGTGTGGCACACGGGGGAGGAGCAGGCCTGATCATATATGCCACTGTCACTGCTGACTGGCAGGGCATGGGGTTGGGGAAACACGCTCGGTGGGGCCACCTGGCCTGCTGAGACCCATTGCTTCTGCCTTCTTCTGCCTCCACAGGACTCCAAGTTCTACCTGGAGGGCGAAGTCCTGTTCGTGAGTGTGGGCAGCATGGTAGAGCACTATCACACGCATGTGCTTCCCAGCCACCAGGGCCTGCTGCTGCAGCACCCCTACGGCTACTCCGGGCCCAGGTGACACCTACCTGGCACTGCTGTGGGACCGAAGCAGCAGTTGGACCAGAGTGCCACGCCATGCAGATGGAGCTGGGCCTGTGGGGTGAGATCCGAGGAGCAAGTCGCATGCTGGATGCTGGGCCTTCCCAACAGACAGCAGGCCCCACCCAGCGGGCTGGGGCTCCAGGCTGGACTTGGCCATGGACTGCGTGGACTGGCCGACTGCCCTGAGCTATTTCCTAGGAACCTGAGGCCCAGGACTGAACCCACCTGGGCTTTGGGGAGACAAGGTCTGGTCCCTACTACACACCTACCCTGCAGCAGACTGGGACCGGGCAGGACTGGGGCTGTTGGATGGGGTACGGCTGGCCCCGGACCTTCCAGCAATGCCAAGGCATGGGCTCCAAGGGGGGCTGTTGCCTCCCAATAAATCAGGTGATCTTCACACCAATGGCCAGGGCTTGGTTGGCAAGGAGGGGCAGCTAGCTCTGCTCTGAGCCCACATGTGTCCAGGTGGAGAGCAGCTAACGGGAACCGTAAGAGTTGGTCCTCCCCTCTTCTCAGCCACAGGCCACCGGGTGACTTGCTGGGGGCTCATAGCAGTGTCAGGTCAGGACACAGCGGAGGCCATCTCGGTTCAGAGCCCACATTCTAAGCCCAGCAGGTGCCAGAGCTGAGGGTGTCCTGTGAGCCGGTCTCTGGGCTGACTTCGCAGGCTCGCAGCCTAGTATCGAGACACTGGGCTTGACATGCCGGCAGTACAGCACCCAAAGCTACTGGGCCCTGGAGCTCGGAACCCAGGAGGCTTCCTGGTGGTGATGCTGCGAAAGGATGGGCAGAGAGGGCCCTGAGACAGACGGGGGTGGAGATGTGGCACCCACATGTCCACGGCCTAGCGACGCCCAGCTCACCTGCCCCCCGGTTTCTATGCGGGAGTTCCAGCTAGTCACATTGTGTGGCACAGCCACCAGCCTGGGTGTTTTTCTAGAAACAATCGCAGCTGGGAGTCAGGGCTGGATGGGGCTTCGGGTTGCCAGGTCCTTCCTGCATGTAGTGAGGGAGATTTTCAGGTAAGACCCTGATGGAGGATTGCCCGGTGTGCGGCAGTGAGTGGCTGTCCAAGGAGGGAGTCCTCGCTCAGGGCCTCTCGCCTCCTGTCACGTTCTGGGGATTTGGAAGGCTGTGACCCCAGGGAAACGGGGGGGGGGGGGGGAACCTGTGGGTGTCCGGGGCTGTCTCTGCAGGTGTTTCGGGTGCACCTGGGGAGCAGGTCAGTATGCCAGAGAGAGCCTGGGCACACGGGCGGGTGCTGCTGGGGCTCCCAACCACCCTGGTGGAATGCACTGGTCCTCCTCCCTGTGGTTGGAATTCCTCACGCTGTGTGCCGTGACGGGGAACAAGAGTGGAGTGGCGGCAGAAGCAGGCTCTCCCATCCCCGCTCCTGTGAAGTATAAAGTAGGGGGCTAGAAAACGGCTTTCTAGTATAGTATAGAACCTTGTTTCTGGAACCAGTTTAGTGGCTAGCGTGTGTTGGGGGACCCCTGAACCGGAGGGCTTGTGGGGGTTCCGGGTGATGAGTCCCTCTGGCCAAATGGATAGCCAGTGCTTATGCCTGTCCAAGGCCCATCCCAGGGGCCCGCCCAGCTCACCTTCCAGACTCAGCACCTTCTGGTACAGCTGCCCACCTCTTTGTCAACTGCCAGGCAGGGGTATGGCTCTTGTTTTTTGTTTGCAGAAATGTGATTGGAGGTGGTAGGGAAATCCCAGGCCCGGAGGAGGGGCCCTTGGCTCTGCTGTGCTTGCTAGTGGTCTGTTCCACACGTAAGCCTAGCAGGCAGTGGAAGTAGTACCAGTCACTGAGCACTTCTAGTATTTGAGGTGCTGAGCTGGGCACTGGAGCTAATTTGCTTGGAGAACAGCTTCTTTTTTTTACAAGCAAGAGAAAAGGGGCTAGAGAGGTCACCAATCAAGTCCAGCTTTGCCATTCACTAACTGGCTGCAACTCTGGGGGCACTGGTGAGGAGCGCCCCTCAGGGTGGGCAGCTTAGTGCAGCTCTAATCAGGTGCCTTCCCATGATGAGACAAACAGAGATGGCCTTGGCCATCCCCTTGATAGACCAACTGAGAACCAGAAGGAAAAGGCCTTTGCGAGTGCCCCAGGCCCTGGGGGAGAATGAGCTAGACATGCTAGCATGTGTCCTGAGAGGAGAGGGAAGGCCACGGTCTCTGAGCTCTCAACACACATCCTGCAAATTTCTGCCTGCATGGCCTATTCCCTCTCCCTGATGGAAGGGCTCGGGGGAAGCTTTGCTTGCAGTGACCTCTGGAGGTGTTTGACTCAGTCCCATATCACAAAAGTGTATAAAGGTGGTTCCCCACTGAAGCTCCTTTCCCTGGAGGGAGATTCGTGAGGCATAGAACAGACCTCTGACCCACCTGCCATCCTGTAGATGCTTCCAGAACTCTGCAGGAGCCTTCGCAGATATTCACAGTGGCCTGACAGCTGCCCTGCCCTTCAGGCTGAAGGACAGTATCTGTGGTCATACCCTGAGCTTCTCTGAGCTGAGGAAATTCCTTTTACCATTTATGTCCTGTGGAATAAAATATAGAGGAAATAAGTAAAGCAAATGTGCAGTCTAACATGGTTAGGAACATCTGAGCAACTCCAAGGAACAGCCTTCGCACCCATCACAGCACCTTCTGTCCTGGCTTGCGTGGGTCTTGTGTTCTTGTTTTTCACCACCCAGTTATGCATTCAGCCCCGCATCTTCTTGCTCTTATGTTGTATAGTAATGGGATTACACAGATGCAAGCTTTGGCATCTGTCTTCTCTGGGTCATCACTGTCAGATCTATTCATGTTGCCATGCATAGCTTGATTTGTTCAAGTTCATTGTTGAAACTGTTCCACTGTGTGACCATATCATTACTCATGGATCCAATTGTTTTCATTTGGGGGCAGTTACAGATAATGCTGCCAGCAACAATCACACTGGTGTCTCATGCCGGATTAAGCTCCAGTTTCTCTAGGGTATGGGTTTTTTTTTTTTCCTTTTATTTTACAAGAAAATTCTAGGTGTTTTTGTTGTTTTTGATGTTGTTGGTTGTGGGCTGCTGTCCCTCAGCTCTTCAGCTCAAGGCAAGCACTCTACCACTTGAACCGCAGTGCCACTTCTGGCTTCTTGGTAGTTAACTGGAGATAAGAGTCTCATGGACTTTCCTGCCTGGGCTGGCTTTGAACCAGATCTCAGCCTCCTGAGTAGCTAGAATTACAGGGTGAACCACCAGTGCCTAGTGAATAGTCTAGTTTTTATGTCAGTAAAAGAGAATTCCCTTGTCTTTGCATAATTTCCAACACTTGGTATTTGCTAGACTTTTCATATTTGCTTGTCTGGTGTGTGTATATCTTTTATAGGCATTTAGCAAGTTACTAATAGTATTGAAAACACTTTCTTGTGTTATTAGCCTTTTTGATTTTATCTCGTGTGAAATGTTTTGTTTTTTCCCTTCAGTACTGGGGTTTGAAGTCAGTGTCTTACATTAGTTAGGAAGGTGTCCTACCACCTAAGGATGGCAGGCACATGTCACCACGCCCAGTTATGGAATGGGAAGAGGGCTCACCAGCTTTCCTCTCTATACTAGCACTGGCACCTGCTTATTCAGGCCTTTTGTCCCCTTTCCTCCCTCTGTGTGGCACTGGAGTTTGAACTTGGCCTTGTTTTCCAGGCGTTGAGCCATTTGGGCCATTCCTCCAGCCTTTTTTGCTGCTTCACTTTGATTTTAGGTAAGGTCTTGTGCTTTTGAAGTCTTGGACTGGGATCCTGCTGCTGCCTCCCCAATGTGTGCTGCTGTGGGGGCTTGCTTTTGAGGTAATCTGGGTTGGACTTTTTGCCCTGGCTGGCTTCAAACTGCAGTCTTATTTTTGCCTCCTGAATGTATTTTTTTCTTGTTTTTGTTTGGTGGTAAAGGGGCTATACTTGTTGGGTACTAGGTAACACCATAGCCTTGCGCTTGCTAGGTAGGCTAGCTACCATTTCAGCTGAGCCTCAGTTGATTTTTATTCATCGATAGACATTGCTTATATAACTTTGATAGTATTAACATGCTGCAGATAGATATCTGTCTTAACTGATTATGTCTTTTTCTTTTTTCTGGTGGTTCTGGTCAGGGCCTTGTACCTGCTAGACAAGTGCTCTAGCACTTGAGCCACGTCCCCGGTGCCCATTATGACATCTTCTAATGAAGGTGTTTACTGTTTTTTGGTAGCCCTGTCCATTGTCTTCCCTGGGCGGTGAAGGCCCCAGATGGGGCAAAGGAGGGACATGGGGGAATGCGGGGGGCTGGCGGGGGACTGGCAGGAGGACTGGTAGAGGACTGGCGGGGACTGGTAGAGGACTGGCGGGGACTGGCGCTGCGGAGGCCCCGCCGCTCGCTCGCTCGCGGAGCGCCTGCAGGCCGGGGCGGACCCAGGCCCAGGCCGCCAGCTCACCCCGCGGGAGCCTTATCGGGGCGCGCAGGCCCCGCCGCCTGACCCCACCCAGACCGCCAGGCTCCGGGACGGAGCTGTTCCGGGGCGGCTCCGCGGGGCGCCGCCGAGGCGGCCGCTGCAGCCGGCAGGCCCGCGCCCGCCAGACGGTGGCGGGGCCGCATCGTGAGGCTGGGCCGACCCCCGGCCGCGCGCGGGGCGCGGCAGGTCGCGTCCGGGAAGACAACCCGTTCCGAGGGCCTCCGAGGCCACAGCCACGCCCTCCTCGGCTCGGACCCTCCCCTTCCGTCTTGATGCGGCCAATTGCGTGGCGAGATGCTGGGTGGCCTCGGCGCGTGCCGGGCCAATGGGGCCGCGCGTTGCTGGGCTGCCGCGCCGCAGGCCGCACCCAGCTCGGGCGGCGGGGGCGATCCTCGGGCTGAGGGGCGGAGAGGCCGGAGCGGCGGCGCTGCGGGCCGGGGTGCGCGGGGCGGGCCGGGTGCGCGCGGGGGCCGGGGGCGGGGCCAGGGCCGAGCCCAGCCGCGAGGGAGCGAGCCGGGCGGCGGCGGCCGCACTCGGACCGGGGAGGCGCGCGAGCTGCCCTCGATTCCGCGCTGAGGTGAGGCCTGCGGGCCGGGGCGCGGCCTCCGGGCGGGGCGCGGGGCCTGCGGGCGGCGCGGGGCGGGCGGGCGCGCGGAGCCGGCGGCGCGGCCCGGGCCGTCCCCTCGGGAAAAGCCCGGAGCCCAGCCCCGCCGCCGCCTCCCCGCAGCCGGCCGCGCCCGCCGGCGGCTGGCCCGGAGCGCGGGCGGCGGCGGCCGCGGCGGGCTGGGCCGGTCCTGCCCGCTCCTGGTGTCGGTGGTTGAAGGTTCTTCCGTTTTCCTGCTCTCGCACCGCTCTCGGTCCCGCGGTTCGTAGCTCAAGGTGCCCGGTAGGTGATCCGTGTTCCTTCTGCAAATACCCGGAGCTGCTGCGGCCTCGACCCTGTGACCGGAGACCAAGCCCGCAGCACCGGACGCCCAGAGCCTAGCGGATAGGGGTGTGCGTGTGCGCGCGTGTAGTGTGTGTGTCGGCGCCAGTGTCAGTACTGGAGCTGGAACTTGGGCCCGGGCGCTGCCCCAGAGCTTTTCCTGCTCAAGGCTGGAGCTGGAGCTGAACCACTTGAGGCACACACACCTTCACTTGCGTCGTGACCCCCTCCCCCAAGGGTTAATTGGAGATAAGAGTGTCACACACTTTCCTCCCCAGCCTGGCCTCAAGCCTGTGATGCTCAGATCTGTCTGTTGAGTAGCAAGGATTACAGGAGTGAGCCACTTGTGTCTGGCTGAAATCTTAATGGGACAGAAAATAGAATCTGAAATAATCCCCTCTTCTTTGCAAAAACCATGCGCCGAAAGAAGCTGGGAGTCCGTGAGTAGGAGCAGAGGGAGGACATGTCAGGCTAGAGGTGAATTGTATGAGGATAGGCTTGTAATAATTGCAGTGTTTACTTAAAGGGCAAAACCGGCAGTGTGTGTGTGTGTGTGTGTGTGTGTGTGTATTATTAAGTCTACCAATTTGAGACACCTCAATTCTGGGATATATATGGAAAAAGCTAGACTACTAAAATTAGATTTTTTTTTTTTTTTGGGGGGGTCCGGTCGTGGGGTCTGAACTCTGGGCCTGAGCTCTGTCCCTCAGCTCTTCAGCTCAAGGCTACCGCTCTACCACTTGAGCCACAGCCCCACTTCCGGCTTTTCTTTTCTGCTTATGTGGTGCTGAGGAATCGAACCCAGGGCCTCAGGCATGCAAGGCAAGCGCTCTACCACTGAGCCACCTTCCCAGCCCCCTACTAAAATTAGATTTTTGAGGAAGCAGATAGCTGGACAGTCAAAACTGCTTTTTAGGGCTTTGATGTAGTATATCACAGTGGTACAGTCAATTTGTTAATTTGCTATTTGTATGTAGGATTTCCTTCCTTTCTTCCTTCTTTCCTTCCTTCTTTCCTTCCTTCCTCTCTTTCTTTCTTTCTTCCCTTTCTTTCTTTCTTTCTTTCTTTCTTTCTTTCTTTCTTTCTTTCTTTCTTTCTTTCTTTCTTTCTTTCTTTCTTTCTTTCTTTCTTTCTTTCTTTCTTTCTTTCTTTCTTTCTTTCTTTCTTTCTTTCTTTCTTTCTTGTGCAGTTCCTGTGGCTTGAAATTGAGGGCCTGGATTGCCATCCTTGAGCTTTTTTGCTCAAGGCTAGCCGCTAGCACTCTACCACTTGAACCACACCTCTCCTTCTGGCTTTTTTTAGTGGCTAATTAGAGATAAGAGTTCCTGAACTTTCTTTCCAGGGCTGTTTTTGAACCAAGGTATTCAGAACTCATCCTCTTGAGTAAGTAGCTTTGCTTTTGAAGTGTAGCCTCCCAAGCGGGCCTCACTTGGGGACTAGCCTTGTCTGATCCTCATCAGCTGGCTGATGAAAGTGCACTGTCATGGATAGTGGCTTCTTATAGTGGAAAATAATAGTTTGAGTATATCTAATCCAAAAACCTGAATCCTAAATGCTTCACTAGCTACTAAATGAGACATCAGCAGCTGAACTCCCATTTTTTTTTTTTTTTAAATAAAGCACACATAACTCCTTTCCTTTGACAAAAACTGGGTATGTGGATGCTTGACTTCTCTTTCTTTCTTTCTTTTCTTTCTTTCTTTTTTTTTTTTTGTCTGTCGTGGAGCTTGAACTCTGGGCTTGGGCACTGTCCTTGTGCTCTTCAGTTCAAGGCGAGCGCTCTACTGCTTGAGCCACAGCACCACTTCCGGTTTTCTAGCGGTTTATTGGAGTGAGAGTCTCATGAACTTTCCTGCCTGGGCTGGCTTTGAACTGCGATCCTGAGATCTCAGCCTCCTGAGTAGCTAGGATTACAGGCATGAGCCACCGGCGCTTGGCTTTGACTTCTTTTCTGAGAGATAGGTGTCATGTTAAGCCCAACTTTGTGACTTCTCTTATCGGAGGCATCCTGTGATTGGAATAGTATAGATTTAGAAGAAATTCAATATTTGGAAAATACCACAAGAAAGATCTAATGATAAAGAATGAAAGGCTGATGTGGTTGTGCCAGTCTGTAACCCCACCTACTTTAGAGTCAGAGATTAGGAGCATTTTGGTTTGAGGCAAGCCTGAACGTAAAAAGTAACAGCTTTATCTGAACCAGCAAGCTGAGTGTGTGGTGCACACCTGTATTGCCAGCTCCGTGGGAGGCACGGGTAGGAGGGGCCTAGTCTAGGCAGACCAAGACCGCCAAAGTAAAATAATAAAAATAATAGGTCTTCCCTTTTGCACTATATGATGAGCAAACTATAGTAGAACGCCAGCTGCCTTTGCTCTAAAACAACAGAGGACAATTGTATGAGATGTCAGATTCTACTGTGGTTTGAACTCAAGGTCTTATACTTATTTGGCTTGCTCGCTCAGCTGATAGTCTATCACTGGAGCCCTGTTGGAGCACAAATACTCAGCAAAAAGCTAGTTATTTTGGAGGTGGAGTTTTAAGGCTTTTTGACTGGGCTGATTTAAAACCTTAGTACTCCCAGGTCTCAGCTTCTTGAGTAGCGATTAGGTATAAGCCCCTGGCACCTGCTGAATTGTCAGGTTTTTATACGAGTGAAATCTTTATCTGTTTTTTGAGTTTTTTTTTTTTTTTTTGTCCGTCGTGGGGCTTGAACTCTGGGCCTGGGCGCTGTCCCTCAGCTCTTCAGCTCAAGGCGAGCGCTCTACCACTTGAGCTACAGTGCCACTTCCGGTTTTCTGGTGGTTTATTGGAGATAGGAGTCTCACGGTCTCTCCTGCCCGGGCTGGCTTTGAACCGCGATCCTCAGATCTCAGCCTCCTGAGTAGCTAGGATTACAGGTGAGCCACCAGCGCCCGGCCTTTATCTGTTTTTGAGTAGAGAAAATTTTAAACTTGTTAAGAATGAGTAGTGTTGGGCTGGGAAGGTGGCTCAGTGGTAGAGCGCTTGCCTTGCATGCTTGAGGCCCTGGGTTCGATTCCTCAGCACCACATAAGCAAAAAAGAAAAAAGCCGGAAGTGGCACTGTGACTCAAGTGGTAGAGTGCTAGCCTTGAGCTGAAGAGCTGAGAGACAGTGCCCAGGCCCAGAGTTCAGGCCCTACGACCGGACCCCAAAAAAAAGAAAAAGAATGAGTAGTGTTAAAGCTGGGTGCTGGTGGTTCACACCTGTAATTCTACCTACTCAGGAGGCTGAGATCTGAGGTTTGTGGTTCAGAGCCAGCCCAGGCAGGAAAGTCCGTGAGCTCTTACCTTCAATTAACCACCAGAAAACCAGAAGTGGCGCTGTGGCTCAAGTAGTAGAGCTTTGAGCTCAGTGACAGTGTCCAGGCCCAGAGTTCAAGCCCCATGACCAACCAAAAAAAAAAGGAGTAATATAAGGTCATCTTTCCTGTGACCATTGGTGCTGTAATGCTGGGAACCCCGGCAGGTGGACCCAAATCTGAGAGTCATAGAAACGGCCCAAACTAGAAAATGCTGAGCATTTTAATGGTTGTTCTGACTGATTAATTATCATGAATTGGGATTTAAAAAGCCTTTTTTTTTTTTTAAAGGAAAAAAAGTGAGGTTTATTTGTGTATTGGTCCTTATGGCCACATACTGAAGCATAAACCTATTTTATGTTTCAACCTACTGTACATATTGATTGTCTCATCTTTTTCCAATACGAACTTGTTGGAATTAGCCCCTGAATGTCTTAGTACTTGGCCTTCTTCAGATTTGATAAGCTGTACCAGACTTTATCATGTGTGTTTTCTGTCCTAACCCTAGAAGCATCCATTTCTCTAAGAGGCCTTTGTTTCTTTGCTCTGCTTTTGAAGTGTAGCCTCCCAGGCGGGCCTCACACAGGGACCAGCCTAGCCTGATCCTCATCAGCTGGCTGATGAGAGTGCACTGTCATGGATAGTGGCTTCTTGTATTGGAAAATAAATCCAAAAGCTTGAATCCTAAATGCTCCAATATCCAAAACTGGATTTTGGAGTGCTGACATAATATCCCATACCTAACCTCATTTGATGGGCCACAATCAAAATGCAGATATGGAATAGATGATTTATTGACCATCTCCAAGGGAACAAAGAACTTACCAGCTCTTTTAGGTATGAGACACAAACTTTGTTTCCTGCACAGTTTCATTGGCGCTCGGGGTGGATCTTGGTGGTAGAGTGCTTGTACAGTGAGCATTGGTCACTAACATTGTGGAGTGGGGAGGACAAAGAATTGTAAAATTGGGGCTGGGAAGGTGGCTCAGTGATAGAGTGCTTGCCTCACATATGTGAGGCCCTGGGTTTGATTCCTCAGCACCACATAAGCAGAAAAAGCCGGAAGTGGCACTGTGGCTCAAGTGGTAGACAGTGCCCAGGCCCAGAGTTCAGACCCCATATCTGACCAAAAAAAAAAAAGAATTGTAAAATTACCTTTAGTTCATATGTATGAGATAGGTATGAAAATAAATGGGTTTTATGTTTAGACAGATCATATCTAAGATGTCTCATTACATATATGAAAATAATCTAAAATCTGAAAAAAATCTGTAATCAGGAACTCGATCTCAGACACCTTGGGGAAGGAATACTCAAACTGTTTAGAAACTGC